GTTCAAGAATTGACAAAACTAATCAAAGGTGATAGAAATCAGAAAATTAGTTACCTCTGGGAGAGAAATTGATTGGAAAGGAACTGATGAAAGTTTCTTGAGTGGTGGAAATGTCCTTTACTGTGGTGTCAGCTGTGGTTGCCTAGGTATATGCATTTGTCAAAATTTACCAAGCTATTCATGTGTTAATTTGAGTGTTTCACACTATGTTGATTGTACCTTAATAAGAAATATTACTCAAAAGTAAATAGATGAATTACTTAAAAGATGGGAGTCATATACAAATATACATGTCTATTCCATACAGTCCGATGTAGAAATGATTCACATAAAAATAAATCAAGACAGGAGTAGTCATATATCTACACAAAGTATGGAGAAGAAGTGTTCAGTACCTTATATATACAATATACAAATTTGACATCAAAATAAGCTGGACTAACAAATGTTCCCCAAAACAACTGAAGATCAATGTCTGAGAGAAAGCTCTAGAAAAAAAAACTTAGAAAAAATGCTCATATGCTATTGAAGTCATTGCAAGAAACATGAACTGCTATAAGTTTCATAATTTAGGAAACCAGGCATTCATGTGTCCACAATTTAGCCCTTCATTTTGCCTTTTAGCAGATTGGCCAATGGATAAATTGACTTTTGCCTGCTCCCCCTTTGTGAGTGGGGTTCTGGTTGAATTGGCACTCCCCCATTGACAGCCTCACAGAGGTGCTCATGGCAGGGCTTAGACACATGGGGTTTACTGCACATGGGATTTCGTGTCCTTTGAAACCCAGCTATGGATTTCCTAGTTTTAACAGCTAATGAATTCCAAGTTAAGACATTTTGCCTTTGGATGTGGACATCTATCTGTAGGTGCCAAAGAGGGATACAAGCTGGAGGAAATGAAATGTATGCCCAATGTTATCTTGTAATATTTCACACACACAAAAACTGAAGAGCTTGTAGATGTTAATCCAAGTCAAAGTAATGGTAAGAATTAGGTTCCTTCCTTAAATTATACTCAGATGATTCAAAAACACGGTTTTATGTGCACAAATACTTTAGAGAGACTTAGTTTATAGCCTTTTTTTAAAA